CCTCAGTTGGCGCATAGCAACCGCACTGACATCGGTTGCTTAGCCTTACGTCGCCCTTCCAAAAAACTTCAGGAAGGCGTCGCGTAACAGTTATTTTGTAATAGCAATCCCGAACCTCCCTTTTCTTATTTTCCATTTTTTATTCCATAAATCAGTTGTAATTCCTTAGTTTGGTTTAATATTAGATTATTGTTACATTTAGTAAATATGGATCAATTACATTGGTGCTCTCGTTGTTCTTAATCCATGCCTCTCTACCCTTCTTCCATGCCCAATGCTCAGTTCAACAACCTCTTCGAATCGGTGAGGGCGCTGCAAGAATTGGTGACAGTGATGCAAGAAAGTAATTCTCGTATGATCTCTTCCATTTGCCGTATGCAATCACTGGTGCAGGAGGAACTGCAATTGGACTCCACGGCTTTAGACGATGCAAAAATAGAGGAGGTCTCTGTGGAAGATACAAGGGGCGGTGCTAGGATAGTCGGTGTCGGCGACAGTGATTCTGATTTGATCGCTGAAAACTCAGGCTTGCTGGATAATTCCAAGGTACCTCCTGAGATGTTAGAAAATCCCGTAGCAGATTAGCTTCTGGGGTACTCTGCAAGTCCTGGACGCCAGGTGTTCGACATAATGTCCAACAGAAGCTACTGCTCCAAGTTGTGGGAAGTTGTTTATAAGGAGAATGGAATTGATTCCACCAGCCGATTCAATGGTGATTATGCTCTCCAACTTGAGAGAATAACTCTCCATTCCTATGACATCAGGGGTGTTAATGAGGTACAAGATGAACTGAAAGGAATTGTCCACTACCTACGAGACCCCAAGCGTTGCACTCGTCTTAGTGGTCTGCTTGGAAATGTAGTGTTATTTGTTGATTTCCTTGAAACTTGCAATAATATGTTGGCTAGAACCATGCTATTTCATTTTCCATTTGATCTAGGTTCAGATTATGGTCACCCACGAAACGTCGCCAAGATGTTTGACGACATGCCTCACTGCCTCTCCATGGTATTTGCTGCTCAACAAACCACCCGCACGTCCGGAAAATTAGTCTGATTTGGACGATAATCACTCACCCCATATGTTCAATGAAATGTCCCATAGCTGCTACTCCAAGGTCATCACTGATGTGCAGTCGAATTCGCAAATCATGGCCCCTGCGATAGCAACTGATTTTGATGTGGGTAAATTAGAGATACTGATTTCTAATGTCGCTCAGGTGTTTGATGAAAGCTCCAGCTCTACTCCTAATATCGAATATGATTCAGAAGATGGAGCCTCAACAAATTTGAACCAGGTGCTTGCTAAAATTACTGAACGAGATATGCGCAGCGAGTTCAATCTAATTACCACCTCACCTTTCGTACAACAATGTGATAAGAGATCAGAATGCAAAAACGAGACCACTGCACTAAAGTGGTTTGATGATATGTCGGGCAGGTATATATATGCATATTCTTTTGATCTTGGCTCAACTAGGTACATTGAATCTGGGGGTGACATCTTAATTATGGCTGGAATCATATTGATGCACAAGATTAAATGGTTACAATGTCTGTTTGATCCTGGTGTATATGTTGCGCATGATGTTCGATGGGGTGGAAGTTCTCTTAGGCATGTAGACTCCACATTTGGTGCAATTGACGACTTCATTATAGATACCACAAAGCTTTCATTTAAAAGTCCAAATCTGAGAGAACTCTTTAAAGAGCCACTGAAACACAACATAATGAAAGAGTATATTCGAGTCAATGGGTGGCTTGTGATATATGTCTCCTCATGTGCCTATTGATATATCCAAACTCATCAAGCAATGACCTCTTTCACTTAATTGCAACTAAGTTTGGAGTGACTGATTCATCTGCATTGCTTGAACTGAAATCCAAATGGGATACTGAACCGTCCAACAAGAAGGCTAGAAATATTCTGCAACCTACATTGAGCATGCTTGCCATATCTAGCCCTGCATTTTCAGAAGATTTATCGTTTGCTGCTTTGCTCTTGGAAACAATGTCAACGCTTGATATTGTTATTGAGGTGGACTACATTCTAGGAGATATCCCAAGAGCCACAAGTTACGTGATGGGATATGGCAGTACTTACCAAAGGCAAGTTGGCCATAATGCTTACTTTTGTCTTTGTCGTGAATGATCCTATTTTTGTCAATTGTTGTGGAGTCTATACCACCTGGTTTAGCAGAAAGTTGAGTCTTTCTAATTTTCTCATTGGTGTCATTTTCTGTGTGTTGCTACCTACAAGCTCAACAGGTTGGGGTTACTGCGTTTTGTGTAAATTGAGTGAAGATCAACAATATCTTGATGATTGGATGAGTTGCTGCTGTGGTGGAACTAATAAGGAAAATATGCAGAGTTATGAACAAGAGCTAAATTTCTTTGATACTTCTACATCACCTTTGAAATGGGCTTTCATGCAAGGTTTTACAATGCTCCTTCAGAACAGATATCAAAGGCAAACAATTTATATTCATATTACATTACGCAAGGCCAAGGGAATGAATGTTGTGTGGGAAGAGCCTGTTGAAGCAAATGCCCAATTATTGATGTTCTTCCTTGTACTATTTCTCTTATAGGGATTAAAATCATATGTTGGAGTCTTGTTGCTTCAAACTATATTTACTGGTTTTACAAATGGCAGGCAGAAGCTTGCTTTGAATCTGGAAGACACGGGAGATATGTATTTAACTATAAAAGGCTTAATCTTGCCTTGTAGTCAAATTATTGCAGATGGTGCTTTGAGACATTTTGGAGTGAATTGAATTCTAGTGATATATTGCCTATGCACAATGAAGCAAAGACAATTCTTGAGGGCAAATTCCCTAGCTCAAACATTGAGGACAAGGTTCTTATTGAGTGTGAGAGTATTGTTATGAACATGACCTTTACCAATTATACTATTGGGCTGGTATTTGGGCCAGTTGTTAAAATGAAGAAATACCAATAGGTGATGTGGGATCCGGGTTGAGAAAATCCATTAAAATATTAGAGTGCTGAAGGAAATAGAGAAAATATAAATAGTGTAGTTGTTAGGCTAAGCTAGAACTTGGTCTTTTCTTTTCATTAGCTATTTTCTAATAGCAATCTGGAACCTCCCTTTTCTTATTTTTTTTTTTTTTTTTTTTTTTTTTTTCATGAATCAGTTGTAATTCCTCAGTTTGGTTTAATATCGGATTATTGTTACATTTAGTAAATATGGATCCATTACATCTTATATCAGTATTATTTTTAATTCCCATGAATATTAATCAAACAAGGGATAAGACGGTATTAAATTTTTATGCCAAAATTATTTTTGCTTATGCATCCTACCAAAGAGGTCAAGACAAACTGGATCTAATTTTTACAACTGGAATTTCCTTTATATACATCAATCAATACCTATGCATTAATCTCGAACTAAGTTATCAACCGAGAAAAGAGAGAATTTCTTTTTCTATATTTATATTTTAGCTTTTACCTTATTTGAATATACGGAAAAGTTCCAAATCGGAAGAGATTCCTTAACTACAGTGCTACTTTGTAGGAGAATTTCTTTCCAAAATTCTCTCCTTCTGAAAAAGTCTTTATTTGTCATACGTACTTAATTATTTTATTATTAATATCATCACGTTTTTCACGATTAGTATATTTCTTTACGAAAAAAGCCCCCACCCCATGCACGTAAAAGTTAAAACATATCCTAACCCCATCCCTTAAACGTTAACACCGTCATAATATTTTTCCTAAATCCTAATCCAACAACTTTAATTAATCATAATTAGCGTTTGAATAAATAATCGTTTCCTTCCCATAATACACATCCTTTACGTCGCTAGCTCAAAACGCATCACATCACTTTGCTTCCCTTCCTCCTTCCCTCTCCGGTGAGTATTTTTTTTCTCTTTAATTTCTCATATTATTTATGATTTTCTTGAATTACATCTGATTGTTCAAGATTAAGCATATGTGAACATCTTTATGTGTCAACATTGTGTTTAATGCCATTATATGATGTGAATATAATGTTGGTAGAGCCTGTTATTGATATTGATTTTCTTTTTCTTTGAATTCAATTTGGGTGCGAATACATTGTAAAAATTATCGATCTTTCTTAAGTAGATTCATAGTAAAAGGATTTTTTTTTTCAATTTGCTGTGGTCAATTGATTTATTGGAATGTAATTTTGTACTACCATTGATATAATTCGGTTCATAATTTTGTTTTATTTTTGATGATTTTTCTTTGTGGGTGAATAGGGTTAGTGACAAGGAGTGGGGAAGATAATATTATCCTACTGATGGTAGGACCAAATTCAAATGGGAATTTAGAGGGGAAGAATAGTATGGAGAATGAGCTTCAGTTATTGCTACTAAGACAGCAACATGGCCGTAATTTTGGCGGCGTAAGGGAGAGTGGAGATTTGAACATAATTAATAGAAGTGGCAGTGCTCCACCTACTGTAGAAGGAGCATTTAGTTCAATTGGAGGTTTGTTTAGAAATCCCAATTTTCAACAGTTTAGTGATAATGGCAATAGTAGTAATGCAATCTTGACGGAAGATGAAATTCGATCACACCTGGCATACTTATCGTATTATTATTCACACGAGAACGTTAATCCAAGGTTGCCCCCGCCATTGTTGTCTCGAGAGGATTGGAGAGTTGCTCAGAGGGTTCAAGCAGGAGGAAGTGCATTAGGTGAGGTTGAGGGATGGAGAAGAAAGAATTTGACGGATGAAGGTGGTAGTTCATCCTTGTTCACAATGCAGCCTGGTCGGGCAGAAGATGAATTGATAATGTTGAGGAATGCTGCTAGCTTGACAGGAGAACTAAGCTCTGGCTTGGGTGTTAGGAGAAAGAGTTTCGCAGACATAGTTCAGGTTATTTCTCTTGTCTTCTGCTTGATTATGTACTCATCTCCGCCCTCTTTATCTTTGCTCCCGTAGTCTTTTTATGTTCATTCAAATGAATAATGTCGCTGGTATTTTGCATCTCTTAATGTGTAAAAAAGGCCAGCCCGGTGCACAAGGCATCTTGCGTTCATGCAGTGTCCGGGGAAGGGCCGCACTCCAAAGGGTGTGATGTAGACAACAGACCCTAATGCAAGCATTAATGACTGCTTCCACGGTTCGAACCCGTGACCTATAGGTCACACGGAGACAACTACTTGTGTTATATATTACTCCCTTCGTCTCATGTGGCGGTGGTTTGACTCGGCGCAGAGTTTAAGAAAGAAAGGAAATACTTTTGAAACTTATGGTCTAAAACAAACCATAGATATTTGTGTGGCTTTAAATCAATCCATTAAAGATAAAGTAGGAATTCTAAAGATAAATTGTTTCTAAATAAGTAGAGGTGACATCCTTTTCGGACTAACTAAAAAGGAAAGACTGTCACATAAATTGGGACGGAGGGAGTAATATTTTTTTTGCGTTTGCTTTGCTCAAGTGTAGTAGTCAAAAAAAATTTTTCTTATGAATAAGTATTCTTAAATTATTAGTTATAAAACACAGTGAACAGCATAAGATGATAGATGCCATTTTGAAATCGCAATGTTTCGGGAAATCTGTTTATATGCTGAAAGGCATTAAAAAGAAAGCGGTCCCAGTGTATGCATCTGGTTTGATGCAATTAATTAAACTAGGCACTTGTGATCATTTTATTCAAAGATATGAACATTCATAAGAAAGAGATATCAATCAAGAAAAGTTAAATGGACGCTATGACCATCCCTTTGTTGATATTTTCTGAAACTTCCAAACTAAAATGAGATTTTCATTACTCAGGAAGGACTTGACCGAAGTGCATCCCCATCAAATCATCTAGCACATTCAGCAACCACAGAATCTACAGAGGCATCACATACTGGCAAAGCTCCCCCGGGCTTTTCTGGAGTTAAAAAAGTTCAGAATCCCAAGCCATATAGCCCTAATTCTTTTTCACCTGCCATCGATCCATCTTTGAGAAGAAGTATTCCTAGCTCAAAGGGACCTAATGGTCTTTCATCCGGGATGAGTGCAGTTGCTAATACTACTGTCTCTTTCTCCGGCTTAAAACTTCATTGTGATGATAACCTGCGGCTTCAAAGGAACGTACCAAATGGTCATAGTCAGAGTTTGCAACAACAGTTAATTGAAAAGTCTGGAGCTGAAAAATTGGCTGCTATAACTAGTATTTCTGATATTGCAAGGAATAAAAGAGTTGTAAATGACCTTAGTGCTTCTACCTTTGACCTTAATGCACATATGAATTCCCTTAGGGCACCTTCTTCTAACATTCTTCAATCCCAGCTGAATTCTTCTGAGTTTGCCCGTCAAAAAGATTCTAAAGCCCTGCAGCAAGTTGATTATACTGGATATGTACCTGGTGGATATGTGTATAAGCAGAAGATGGAGGCATTGAATAGCAATCTAGGTAAGGATTTCGAATCAAGTAATGATGTTTCCTTTTTGAATTAAATTTTGTATCACTAGTGCTTTTCTTGCTCAAATTGTTCAAAATCTTTCAGGTTTTAGTTTAAATGATGTCGGGGGGAATGGTCGGCATTCGAGGAGTGAAAGCAAGGATCTTGAAAAATTGTATCTTGAGACATTGCTTGCTCAAGAGGAGCAACAACTTCAATCATCCCTTATACCAAATTATGGCAGCTTAAGTGATTGTTATTATGGGAATCATGCTTTTGGCACTGGTATACCATGTCAAGGGAATAAGATGGCAAATTCTTTACACTTGACAGTTGGATCTAGAAGTCATATGTACCAGAATGATCCGCTCCGCCAGATTCCTTCTGTCTTAAGTAATTCCATTGAGGAATCTGCTTTTTCATGGCATTCAAAGATCGTTGCTGACATGGATGGAAGGTTTGCACCGTCTCTACTCGACGATCTCAAGAACAAGAATAGGTCCTTGGAACTTATGGATGTTGTTGATCATGTTGTAGAATTCAGGTTTGGCATAATCTCCGCATTCTAGACACTCTATTGCTTGTCATTTGTATTCCTCCAAATTTATCTACTCTTCGTACTCAGCACCGATCAGCACGGGAGTCGATTTATTCAACAGAAGCTGGAAACTGCTAGTGTCGAAGAAAAGATGAAGATATTCCTGGAAATTCTTTCTCATGCTCATAGTCTAATGACTGATGTCTTTGGCAATTATGTTATACAAAAGGTATATAATGTCATAAACCTATAATTATCTAGATGAATGTTATGTTGATGGTGAAATTGTTTGATCATTATGCAGTTTCTTGAGCATGGCACAGAGAGTCAAAGAAAGGAATTAGCGAGCCAACTTATTGGTCACGTTTTGCCTCTGAGTCTACATATGTATGGTTGCAGAGTAATTCAGAAGGTTGATTCTTATGCTTTCCTCTATGAAAACAGCTTCGTTTACTGTTAGCAAATGTATTTGCATAGGGTCATGTCACATGCATTGCATAGTGAAGTGAATTATCATAACTCTAACTGTCTATTTGTTCAGAATGATGGCATACAAATGCACATTTATCAATTCTTTCAATTAAATGCAGCAGATACAGTGGCCAACTTTGTTCGTGCTAAAACCATGAAAAGAAATAAAAAGAACTTCTTTGTATCTTTTTTTTCCCTCTTTTGAAGTGGTGCTTACACATCCTTAAGAGTCTTTCTCTTCTACTTGAATGGACCAACCCTTTTAGCATCTGTTCCGGTATTCTTCAGGAGGAAGAAAAGAATTGTTCAACCAAATATCCCTCCCCGCCTTTTCTTGTATGATAGATCAGGGTTGGTTACTTCTGGCTATGTTTCGAAATGGACTATTCTCTGAACTTCTTGCTTGCACTTCCTCAGATTTGAGAATCAACCCTTAAAATAAAGTTCAGATATCAGCGAACATTTTGGAATCCGTACACAGAAGGATTAACCAAAATCGTGACAAGGAAAAAGTGTGGAGGTGGACGAAAATGGGGTTAAAGGAGGACAAGAGAGAGATATATTTTGCTTTTTGATGAGCTTATAAAAATATTTTATTGTCTATGATGTCGAATTAACATAAAGAGACGAGATAGAATATTAAACACCAGTGCCTAATATTTCATTCCTTTGTCCCATTTAATAAGTTGTGTGATGATCATAGGCTTTGGAGGTCACTGATGTGGAACTGCAGAGTCAAATGGTTACAGAGTTAGATGGCTCTGTAATGAAATGTGTTCGTGATCAGAATGGTAATCATGTTATCCAGAAGTGCATAGAATGTGTTCCGCAAGATCAAATCCGCTTTATTACAGCATCCTTCTTTGGGCATGTTGTGTCTCTATCTACTCATCCCTATGGCTGCCGTGTAATTCAGGTTTGAATAATTTATTTTCTTGGTAATTTGATTTGATACAACAGTCCCTTTGATCACTTTCTGTCTATCTGTTGTCAGAGAATCCTTGAGCACTGTGATGACCCGGCGACGCAACAGATTATCATGACTGAAATACTGCGGGCTGTATGTACTTTAGTGCTGGATCAATACGGGAACTATGTCGTTCAGGTACTGACTTAAGTATAGAGATTTTCTTTCTGATACGCAATCATAACTTGACATCTGCGCCCACTAAATCAGTCCTTTTACAGATATTGTTATGCGGAGCCTTTTTATTTGTTCTGATATTCTTATAGTTGTTTCCTGTCTGCTGCTTATCTTTTTGTAAGAAGCCCGATAGATGTTTTACGTGTGAACTTAAAATATCTCTCTGATGCTCATAGATTTCTTTAGTGACTCGCTGAAGGAGAATAGGGTGTGAGATAATAGTTTGCAGTTGATGAAAGCTTTACTCACACGTCTGTTTTCGTGATCCCATCTCTTCCTTTACGTTCTATACTTCTCTAAGATATATGCAAAGAGAACGAGCAAATAATTCTCAGAAACAGAAGTGAGGCAAGTTAGAGGTAGTATCTACTTATGTGCACTGGAAATTCCAGGGCCTGCGCAGTTTCTGATTAACCTGAGGGTTGGAGAATTCCTTTGCACTGTTTTCCTGCAATAACCCTGTAAAGTCCTAACATCAGGTTTCCATTTTCTGGTGTTCTAGGTAACAGTTTTCCTTGTCAATTAAATGATCTCCGATTCATGGGAGGGACAAGGACTAGAAAAGTAAACTAAATCTGGAAACAATACCAATGAATTCCTTTGACAATCTGCACTCTAGCCATAGACGTCTTCAAACTCATATATACTGATGACATGGTTACTACGCGACATGACACTTTCCTGTTGCATATAGGATTCTTCTGTGGATATTGCTTTAGATTTCTGTCTTCATATATTTCTAATAATATATGTGTCAACTTCTATTTCACTAGGGTATCAGTAATCACTTTTTCAGTAATATTCAAAGTCTGAAGTATTTTTGCTTTCTGTATTATAAATTGGGTCGTGAAGTTCACCTTTCCTCTTGATTAGCATGTGCTGCAACATGGTAAACCACATGAGAGGTCTACTATAATAACCAAGCTTACTGGACAAATTGTGAGGATGAGTCAGCATAAATTTGCTTCTAATGTCGTCGAGAAGTGCTTGGTATTTGCCAGTCCAGAGGAACGTCAGATCCTTGTGAATGAAATGCTTGGTTTGACTGATGAAAATGAGCCTCTACAGGTGTGTGAATATTCTATCGACATTTTTAATATTGGTAATAATATACAAGATCATTGAACTTAACTCCTCTTGTATGATTGTTAGGAGTCTACTAAGTCCAACATACTTTTAACTGTCATTTACAATACGGGAAAATTGCACTTCTGGTCCTTGATATCAACAAATTCTGGTTTGGTCCTTATGATATATGGTTATACACATTTAACCCTCAATCAATAAAAATGTGCACTTTTGATCCTTCTGCTCGTGAATCTTCAAAAAATTAATGAACTATTAACTGTTAAACCATTTAATTGCCCATAATTTGTTTAAATTTTGTACTGTTACTCTTTATTTGAGGGTAATAGGGTTCTAAAAATAATCTAAATACAACAACAACAACAACAACATACCCAGTATTATCCCACACCGTGGGGTCTGGGGAGTGTAGTGTGTACGCAGACCTACCCCTACCTTGTGAGGATAGAGAGGTTGTTTCCAATAGACGCTCGGCTCAGGAAAGCATAAGCACCATATTAATGAAATTATAGACAAGAAGGGACAATACCAAAAATTCATATAAAAGCAAAATAAAAACGACAAAACTGTAAGGTGATCAACAATGAAAGAAAACAACGGTTAGTCATAAAACCTACTACCAACAGAAAGCGAGACTGCGTGCCAATACAACTGTTATGAACACTCTAGACTACCTACTCTACTACCCTAATCCTCGACCTTCATACCTTCCTATGAAGGGTCATGTCCTCGGTCAGCTGAAGCTGCGCCATGTTTTGCCTAATCACCTCTCCCCACCTCTTCTTTGGCCTACCTCTACCTCTCCGTAGGCCTTCCAATGTCAACCTCTCACACCTCCTCATCGGGGCGTCTGTGCTCCTCCTCCTCACATGACCAAACCACCTAAGACGTGCTTCCCGCATCTTGTCCTTAATAGGAGCCACACCTAGGGGTGGACATATTTCGGTCCGAACCGAAAATATTTTTATTTCGGTTTTGGTTATTCGGTTTTTTCGGTCAGTTTCAGTTTAAAATTTTAAAAATTTAGTTTTTCGGTTCGGTTTTCGGTTATTAATTTATTTGGTTCGGTTAACCGAAAAACCGAATTATTAGCATATAGATTCTTTAAGTTATATATAGGCTAAGCCCATAGGTAATAATATAGGCCCAATTTTGAAGTCCATCAAAGACCCAATCCAAATAAGTAACCCAATCGGCTATTCCTAATTTCCCATTACTTAAGACTTTTAACTCTTAACGAAACTTATCTTTTTTTCCCTAACCTACCGAAATTTTGAAGAAAACCAACAAATTCGTCAGTCCAATTATTACATAGAGAGAGCCCAATATGATAATGTTCAAACCGAAAACCGATTAGAAATAAACCGAACCGAAATTAGAAAATCGAACTTATTTCAGTTCGGTTTCGGTTACTACTTTTACAAAACCGAAAACCAAATAACCGAACCGAATTTTTTCAAACCGAACCGAACTGACCGAACGCCCACCCCTAGCTACACCCACCTTGTCGCGAATAACCTCATTTCTGATCCTATCTAACATGGTGTGCCCGCACATCCATCTCAATATCCTCATCTCTACTACCTTCATCTTCAGTACATGAGCGATCTTGACTGGCCAACACTCAGCCCCATACAATATCGTTGGTCTGACCACCACTCTGTAGAATTTATCCTTAAGTTTCGGTGGCACCTTCTTGTCACACAAAACACCGGAAGCGAGTTTCCATTTCATCCATCCCGCCCCAATACGATGTGTGACATCTTCATCAATCTCCCCATCCCCTGAATAATAGACCCATGGTACTTAAAACTCCCTCTTCTAGGGAAGACCTGCGAGTCCAGCCTCACCTCCGCTTCCCCTTCTTGAGTCTCGCCACTGAACTTATAACATATTTTTTATATGTAAAGGGATCAAAAGTATACATTTTAATTAATTCAAGGTTAAATATGCTTACTGAAATATCATCAGGAGGGCCAAAATTGGAATTTACCAATAACAGAGGGATCAAAAGTGCAATTACCCCTTTACCATGTTTCTCCTACTTGGAAAGTATAAGTTCGAAGACATCTAAACTTTACATGAGAGATGAGCGCTTTCCTCTCCTAAAAACATCTATATTTTCTCCTTAACCATATATTGTTCAGTATACCAGATAGTTTAACACTTCCCCATATTCTATAGTTTAACACTTCTTCCATAATTCATCCCTGTCATCAATCATCATTATATCTTAGCTTACTGACATTTAAGCGGGGAACTTTTTGTTGTGGAGGAATTCAAATTCTTTACTCTAATATCTCCATCTCTATTATCCACGAACGCTGTGTTTTGATCTAATTGAATTCAATCTCCTCCTTTCACAGTTTCCCTCCCACAGAAAGTCTTTCCTCCATTTGTTTAGCTATTTTCCCACTTTTGATGCTATGGAAAATAAGGGCATCAGAAAGGTGGTAATGCATCCAGAATGAAAGATATTGCTTCTTCCGTGGGGTCTCTTCTCTACACTTCTCAATGATGCTTTTCCTTATTCAGATTCCTTGTGTTTTGCTCCCGGGAATAGTCACTTCTCCACCTTTCATCCCACAATCTCAGCCAGATTTGCTCAGTATGGTCTGCATTATGCCAGTGGATATCTACATAATTCGTCTTCTTTCTTTAATGGGATTTTTGGCACCTCTAGTTTAAGTTCATACCTCTGTTAGTTATTATGTCCTAACATCCTTTCTCGAGATGGCTTTTGCACAAAGTCCATCGGTGTTCAAACTGTTCGTTCTGAATAGGAACTTCATTTTCACATGCGAGGAAGGAAAAAGAAAAGAAAGATGAGACTAGCAACTGCGAACATATCTTGCCTTTTCTTTTTGTGCGTATATGTTATCAGCAGAAAAGTTAGTTCATTCAATTTTAATGTTGTTCAATCTAGTTTTACCCTTGATCACTTCAATTGCTGAATGTAGGCTATGATGAAGGATCCGTTTGGAAACTATGTTGTGCAGAAGGTTCTTGAGACCTGTGATGATCAAAGCCGTGAATTAATTCTTTCTCGCATTAGAGTACACCTTAATGCTCTCAAGAAGTACACTTATGGCAAACATATCGTATCTCGTGTTGAGAAGCTCATAGCAACAGGAGGTCAGTAGCCTTGTTTGTCGAAACTCTCTGAATATGCTTACAATAAGTGCCTTTTGACACACATTCTTCAAGCTGCTTCTCACAACTCTTCATTATGTTCTCTTTTCCAGAGAAACACATAGCTTTATCGTTGAATCCTTCTCGAGGCAATCCAGTTTTGAAGAATTGAAGTTACTACTTATTGTGCACAGCTTACAAACATGGTGGTGTCTTGACTTCTAAAATGATCTTTTTTCGGCATTTGCTTTTATGGGAGGCTGATATTAGTTTTAGTTGTAAATAAGCAGCATTCCGATTAATGCTTCTGCCTGAATAAGACTCTACCTTTCTTAATGTAAATACCACTGTAAGTATTTGCATGAAGAGAGAGGGCCGTGGCGGTTCTGTCATTTTTTGCTGTAAAGATTTACGTTTGTCTTAATAACTGTAAATAAAAAGTGAGTGTTAAATTTTGATGGTCAATAGTCACTACTACCATCTTGGAGCAGAAATTTTTTCACAGTATATAAGGTGAATATGTCGCGTATTTCTTGTAATTCTTTTCAGGTAATTAGATTGTATAATTCTTATTTGGAAATTGAGTATTAACACCTGCTTAGAGAATCATGATTTGCATAAAAAAAAAATCAGTTATTAAGATAATCTATAGATTTATAAAGAAAAATTTGGTTGAGGTGACAAGTAGAGTATTTTAGAACAATTGAGGGAACAATGTCGAAGGGACTTTGCAAAAAGACCCCTAAGGCTGATTTTCCTCATTTTGTGGTTGCTTTACACATTAAAACTCGAGAGAGGGAATGAGGGATATACTGCTTGATTCGTTATCTATATGTTTGCTTCTTATTTTGTTATTTTTCTTTTTGTTATCCAATTTCTGCGTTTAATGCAATAAAAGACGTACCAATACTTCAATTTCTGATAAATTTTTATCTTACATGTATAACTATTCATTATTTTATTTTTTTGATGTTTTGGTTGAAAATATGCACTTATAGACTGATGATTTGGACCAGCAATGTAATCCAAATTGATTGCAACAATTACTATGGATTTGACTCGATTAATATGCATTTTAAAAAGGAATACATGACTAATCTAACTCGTTTAGTGTAGGATAAACTGGACGAGTTAAACATTTCTTAAAATTAATGGGGTTTTTGCATCTATACCCGATTTTGGGGTCACAATTGAACTTATACCCACTTTGCAAAAAAGTTTGCAAGCGTACCCACTTTACGATCAACTTCAGACTTATCGGGTCTGAAGTTAAAAAAGATTAGTCTGAAGTGAAAAAATTACACTTCAAATGCACTTAAGGTCAAATATGTCTGAAGTGCTTCATGCACTTGAGGCTAATAAGCCTGAAGTACAACTTAAGGCTAAAAAGTCTGAAGTGAAAAATTACACTTCAGATGCACTTGAGGCCAAAAAGCCTGAAGTGCAATTCACTTAAGGCCAATAAGTATGGAGTGAAAATTTGCACTTGAGATGCACTTAAGGCCAAATAGTTCTGAAGTGAAAAATTACACTTCAGATGCACTTAAGGCCAAAAGGTCTGAAGTGCAACAAACGTTTTGCTACACTTAATGTCAATAAGTTTGAAGTGAAAAACTGCACTTAAGGCCAAAAGGTCTGAAGTGCAACAAACGTTTTGCTACACTTAAGGCCAATAAGTCTGAAGTGAAAAATTGTACTTCATATGCACTTAAAGGCCAAAAGGTCTGAAGTGCAACCAACATTTTTATGCACTTAAGGTCAAATAGCCCTAAAGTGTAAATTGCCCAGAAACAGAAATTTGTTCTTCGAATTATAACAATCCAATATACGATTTAATACCTAAATCTACTCCAAATGAGCTCAAATTTGAAACATAACCTCCAAATACCATCGGGAACAAACCTCCAATCATCAATTTGTCAAAACAATAATAAATCTAATGAACCCATTTTGCAATTACGAAAAGAAGAAGAAGAAACTCTAAGCAATAGTAAAAAATAAAGCGTCATAACAGCTCACCACTGTAAACATTATAAACTACCTTAAAATATGTTCACAAACACCATATAAAATCATTGTCATCCGAAGAAAAAGAAAAAGAAAAAGAAGACAAAGGAGGAGGAGGAGAAAAGAGACCTCAAGTTATTTAAAAAATGGGTACAAGTTAAAACTTTTTTAAAAAGTGAGTATAGGTAAAATGGGGGCGACAAAATAGGCTGTCTGTGCAATTTTTTGAAAATTAACGCTATAAGTAGGTTTTGGACAAAAAAGAATATGAGATATGAAAAAAGTAATTTTTGAAGTTGAGTTGCAACAAAATATTTGAAAATTTAAATTATATTTGAATATGCATTTCTTTTACAAAGTGGTGGTTAAATCGACATTGTTGTATGGGATGGGGTATTGTTCAGTCAAGAATTCTCGTGTTCAGAAAATGAAAGTAGTTGAGGTGCATGTGCGGGCATACCAAGTTAGATAAGATTATGAATGAAATTATTCGGAAAAAGGTAGGAGTGGCCCCGTGGAGGATAAGGTGCGAGAGGTGAGGCTGAGATGGTTCTGGCATGTGGAGAGAGAAACATAGATGCCCCAGTCAGGAGGTATGAGAGGTTGGCCTTGGTAGGTATGAGGAGGGGGTAGAGGTAGGCCAGAGATGATTAGGCGGGATATGACACAACTGCATCTTAGAGGACATGACCCTTGATAAGAGAGTGCAAATGTCAAGAATTATGATGGACGATTAATATGCAGCCGCGTGTTTCCAGTTTTCTTTCTAAGATCGGCAGCGGTAGTATTAGCATGATATCTGTTTATTCTTGAATTGCTGGTACTATCTAATATTTGATTGCATTCTTTCGTTTTAGTTTTCTTGATACCTTATTGTTGTTACCACTTATTTTTTTCATCTTGTCTTTAGCGCAGTATCTATCGAAAATAGCCTTTCTGTCCTTCTAGGGTAGGTGTAAAATCTGCATACACGCTACCTTTCCCAAACCCACTCGTGAGAACTAACTAAGTTTGTTGTTGTCGTTGTATTTAGACATGAATTTCACTTGGTAAAAAAATTACAGTTTTAAAATAAAAAAATACTGCTTGCTTAAAAAAAAAGGTAAAACTCACTTTTCATATTTAGAACTCATCAAAAAAATTCGAAATCCATCTTCAAAAATTCAGTTAGATATATAACCAAACAATATTTTGAAGATGAGTTTCGGAATAAAGGAAAAAAATTATACATGAACAAAAAATTTGTTTATTGAAAAGTTACTACTGTTATAAGAGAAATCAAATTATGTTGGATGTCTACTCTTCCTCCATGATCTTCTCAAATGCTTAATGACATATTCAATGACATATTTCTATGCTTAATGACATATTCAATGACATATTTTTATTCACTTTTCATGCCTATATAAAAGCCTTATAATAGATAGGAAAAACACACAATTGAAGAAGAAATAAGAATCTATCTTCCTCTCTTTCTCTCTATATCTCTTAGCTTGTTTTTCCTTGTTCGATATTGTTATTTTGAGTTATATTTATAACACGTTATCAGCACGATTGTCACCTTCATTTTCACAATCACATCCTAGTTGTGTTCGATTCTCCTTCAGGTATATCACTATATATTCTTTTAGTTTATGATAATATATATGCACCAATATGCTATTTATTAACAAATTCATATACTGTTAAGCATTTATTTTAGTTGATCATGTTACTGAAGTTCTCTTACCTCGCTTATTGTTAAAGAAAATATAAGATATAGATCTTAAGTGCGTTAAACTAACAAAAATAATTTAATAAATATGTGTGGACTTGCGTAGAGCAAAACTTATCTCCAAGACATTCTACAAAAATAAAATAGTGATAACCAAGGCGACAAAGTAATTATTGTACATACTAGTTTAAATTACTTTACAATTGGTGGAAAGTAATATTTGAATACATTCACTCTTATCACCGTATATGGTTATTCCTCAAATCCACATTTATAATAAATTGCTTTTCTTTTACCATACTAAATATATCTCTTTGTATTTATTCGTATACTCCATAATTCTTGTTTATTTGACATATATATTATATGTTACTTTTTATACTACATGCTTGAAATGATCAACTTCTTAATTAGTTGTCTGATTTATTTTTACAAGTATATTTTAATTGTAAATTATTTTTATTTGTTCTAACCCATTTACTTTTGTGATTAGTTTCAATATGTCAAACTTGTCAAAGCTTGAATTCGTGGCACTAGACATTACCGGGAATAATTATTTATCATGGGTCCTTGATGCTGAAATTCACCTTGACGCTAAAGGTCTTGGAAATACTATTATATAAAAAAATAAAGCATCAAATCGGGATAAAGCGAAGGCCATGATTTTCCTTCGTCATCATCTACATGAAGGGTTAAAAACTGAATATTTAACTGTAAAAGATCCACTTGAGTTATGGATTAATTTGAAAGATCGATATGACCACCTAAAACTTACGGTATTACCGAAAGCTTGGTATGAATGGATACATTTAAGGTTGCAAGACTTTAAAACCGTAAGTGGGTATAATTCGGCTCTCTTTAAAGTAAGTTCTCTATTAAAATTATGTGGAGGCACTATCACAGATGAGGACATATTAGAAAAAATATTTTCTACTTTTCACGCTTCAAATGTGGTGTTACAACAACAATACCGTGAAAAGGATTTTAAGAAATATTTTGAGTTAATCACATGCCTACTTGTGGCAGAGCAGAATAATACTCTATTAATAAAAAATTATGAAACCCGTCCCACTGGGTCAGCACTATTCCCGGAAGTGAATGTTGTAGCAGCATATGATAAGTCTGAAAGAAAAAAAAATAATTACCGTAGTCGTGGATATAGTCGTAGACGTGGACGTGGCAGGGGACGAAACAATTATCGTCATTATGGTAAAAATAAACAGGAGAACAATAAGGGTTCTCAAATTAATCCTTCAAAAGGTAAAATTAGTATGTGTCACCGATGTGGTATGAAAGGTCATTGGGCACGCATTTGTCGTACGCCAGATTATTTTGTCAAACTTTATCAAGCCTCCCTTAGAAAGAAAGAAAATAATCTGGAGGCACACTTGACCTTTCAAAATAATGATGATGAAGCAGGTCCCTCAAACAAATATGATTCTGAGGCACATCTTGCATATAAAGATGATGATTTTGGAGACCTAGTAAATATTACTCATTTAGAAGCTGGAGACTTTTTTGAGGATATTGACTGAAGAACTAATCATCTTACTGGGAATAAAGCTATAATAAAAGTTGTTATTTTATTATGTTTGCAACTAATTTATTTTTCTTAAGTGTATTTTCCTAATGTATCATGTGTTGCTAGTTTCTACATTCCTAATGTATTTCTTAATATATATTTTGTTTGTCTTTCATATTTCTTATAATGTACTTTTTGATATTTTTTTATGAAGAATATGAAAATTTTTCGGTC